TATTTACTTGAAAATGTGCTTGCTTATATACTTGCTTATTTACTCGTTTATTTACTTGCTTATTTGCTTGCTAATGTACTTGCTTATGTAATTGCTTATATACGTGCTTATTTACTTGCGTATGTGCTTGCTTATGTACTTGCTTATTTACTTGCTTTTTACTGCTTATATACTTGCTTATATACGTGCTTATTTACTTGCTTATGTACTTGCTTATTTACTTGCTTTTTACCTGCTTATATACTTGCTTGTATACTTGCTTATATACTTGCTTATTTACTTGCTTATATACTTGCTTATTTACTTGCTTATTTACTTGCTTATTGACTTGCTTATATAACTGCTAATATACTTGCTTATATAATTGCTTATATATTTATTTATTGTGTCCTTGTTTTGCTTATTTACTTGCTTCTTATATACTTGCTTATTTACTTGCTTATTTACTTGCTTATTTACTTGCTTATTGACTTGCTTCTATACTTGCTAATGTACTAGCTTATATACTTGCTTATGAACCTGTTTATTTACTTGCTTATTTGCTTGCTAATGTACTTGCTTATGTAATTGCTTATATACGTGCTTATTTACTTGCGCATGTGCTTGCTTATGTACTTGCTTATTTACTTGCTTTTTACCTGCTCATATACTTGCTTATATACTTGCTTATTTACTTGCTTATATACTTGCTTATTTACCTGCTTGTTTACTTGCTTATTTACCTGCGTATGTACTTGCTTATATACTTGCTTATATATTTGCTTAATTACTTAATTACTTACTTGCTTATGTACTTGCATATGTACTTGCTTATATACTTACTTATACACTTGCTTTTGTTCTTACTAATATACTTGCCTATATACTTACCTGTATACTTGCTTACATACTTGCTTATGTACTTGCTTATATATTTGCTTATATACTTTCCTATATACTTGCTTATGTACTTGCTTATAGACTTGCTTATACACTTGCTTTTGTTCTTGCTTATATACTTGCTTATATATTTGCCTATTTACATGCCTTATATACATGCCTCTATACTTGTTAGATATATTTCTTGTTTCTTGCTTGTATACTTGCTTATTTACTCGCTTATATCCTTGCTTGTATACTTGCTTATTTACTTGCTTATTTACTTGCTTATATACTTGCTTATATACTTGCTTATTTACTTGCTTATGTACTTGCTAATATACTTGCTTTTGTTCATACTTATATACTTGCTTATATATTACTCTTATTTGCTTATATACTTACCTATATACATGCTTATATACTTGCTTATTTACTCGCTTATATACTTGCTTATATACTTGCTTATTTACTTGCTTATTAACTTGCTTATTTACTTGCATATTTACTTGCTTATGTACTTGCTTATATACTTGCTTATTTATTTGCTTATGTACTTGCTTATATACTTGCTTATATACTAGCTTATATACTTACCTATATACTTGCTTATATACTCTCTTACATACTTGCTTATGCTTGCTTATATACTAGCTTATATACTTGCTTATATACTTACCTATATACTTGCTTATATACTCTCTTATATACTTGCTTATATTCTTGCTTATATACTTTCTTATATACTTGATTATTTACCTGCTTATATACTTGCCTATGTACTTGCTTATTTACTTGCTTTGGATTACGGGTCTTCCGAAGTCGTCCCGGTCCCCATACCTTAATTCTTCGAAGTAGACTGTATAATTTTGAGGGATGAATTCCTTGGGAATAAAACTGCAATTATCTTCAAACCGTTCCGTGAGAGAGTAATTACTTTTCCCTATCACTTCCCTACACTTTTTCTTTCTTCTTATTGACTGCTGGTCTAGCACTTTTCCCGAAGTATTCCCGAACTTTTTCCTGAACGAATTGCAAGAAACCCCGTTTACTGAGCTACCCCAGAGCTATACGCGAAAGTGAGCCGCGCCTTTCGCGCGCTTGCGCAACTCAATTACATTAATTTGTTCTATCACTCTCTCACGGTTTACTTAATAACTTTATTTGTATAAGACATACATTCACACAATTTACTTGTATAGATAGCACAAAAAAATATCTATACTACGATATACATTACATTTTCATATCGCAAAAAACCTTTTATTTATTTAACAAAATATGCCTATTTTACTCACATGTTCAAAGTCGAAATTTCTTAAATATTTAACATAGAAAGTTAAAACAATGTTTTCCACTTGAAATTATACATATCTTAACCAATACCATAGTTTAGTTTACATTTTCTCTATTCATTTCACTATTAAAACACTTTTAAATTTCTTATACAAAACTATCATTATTTCACTTATTCACAGGAATTTTCACATAAAAATAACACAGAATTCACCTTTTTTGCACGTACAATCAATCTGAAATGTTTCACAAGTCATTTTTACATAGATTGCTGAAATTACAAATATTTAATTTTTTACATATTTGGCCTCCTAATTACGTGGGTAGCGTGCGTCCGTGAACTCACACTATTTGAACAACTAACTTTGCACGGCTATCGACTATCAGAAAAAATGGAAAGTCTAATATACACCAATATCAACAATATTAAGGTGAATCAATGCTTCTACACAATTCTCAAACTGTAGGAAACTATTTCTAATCAGATTCTTATCAGTTATCATGTTTCTTATCAGATAACAATATAAGTGAATGTTTTCATAAATCAATCATAGAAAATAGGCATTTGTTTTTATACAAAACATATCAAACTCATATAAGACAACACTTATGCAATTAATTTCCATTAATTCTATTTACTCACAAAGTGATCATCACGACCGGGGAACAAATCCGATCTCTAACTTTATTTTAATATTCCTTTAAATTTACATCATTGGAAAGATGATTTCAACCGGGGAACAAATCTGGTAACATAATTTATATCTTAAAAATTCCCTATATGAATTTATTAAAAGATATTACTAAGAAAACGATAAACTATTCCGGCCTGGGAGTCGAACCCAAGACCTTCATATCATTAATTCGATATTTCTTTAAGATTCAACTAAGCATTTTTTTATTAGAATATTGCTGCTTAATATTTTGCTTTTTAGAATCTATTCGTAATCGGTTAACTTAATAAATTGAAATATTCTTATAGGCGCGTCGCCAACAATCTCCCCCCCCCACGTGCGTCAGCACCATCATTTGGGAGGCGTCGCTGGTACCAACACTATTATTTTGGATGTAGGTCTCCTCAAGATACCTGTGCTAGTAATGACGTCAACCACTCTGGTGTGACCGTCTGGTCCCGGTAGTGTCCTACTAATCTTGCCTTTCGGCCACGTATTTCGTGGCAACGAATGATCTATTATCAAGACAATATCACCTTCATTAGGTTCCATGAACTTTTCATTATTACCTGTTCGAGGTATTAAAGTAGGCATGTATTCTTTTAACCATCTTGTCCAAAAATGGTCGGCTAACCTCTGTGCAGATTTCCAATTGAGTTGACCCGTCAGATGTTGCTCTAAAAATAATCCAGGTGGTCGATCACCACATGAGCGTCCCAGAAGAAAATGATTGGGTGTCAAACCCTCTTCAGAACTATCCATACTGAATGTTACCAGAGGTCTGGAATTTACAGTATGCTCTGCTTCTAAAAGCAACGTATGCAGAACCTCCTCTCGCGGGCTCCTTTCTTTGAGCGTAGCAACGCAATTTTAATTGATCTTACTAACCTCTCCCAGGCGCCACCCATGTGCGGTGCTTCCGGAGGTATAAATTTCCATTTAATATATTTTTTAAATGACTCATTTTTCATGCCCTCATAGCATTCTTCGCATGCTTTCAATAGTTCTTTATTCGCAGCTTTGAAATTTGTCCCGTTATCGCTGTATATAACGGCTGGTTTTCCTCTTCTGGCGATAAATCGCCTCAATGCCATTATCATTGACGCTGGTGTCAATGAGGCTGCTAATTCCAGATGTACTGCTCTAGTGGTCAGACACGTAAATAAAACACCCCAACGTTTTTCGTGTCGCCTTCCTATAGTCACACTCATAGGTCCGAAATAATCAACGGCTGAGCATGTAAACGGTGGTTCATTGTGAGCTATTCTCTCCAGAGGAATATTTCCTTGTAGCACGTTCTGCGGTTTTGACCTGTATGTCCTACACCACTGACAATGATGTGACACATTTCGTACTACATTACGCAAGTTCAAGACATAAAATTTTTAGTTCACCTCATTCATCACCGTCTGGTGATTGGCATGTCCAAAATGATGATGAACTTCTCTAATCATCATTTTAACGATTTCTTGTTTACCGTCTAATACGACAGGTTTTCTACTTTCCTCGGTCAAATTAGACTTAAAAGGTAAACGCCCATTTAAACGGAGTAAGTTATCTTCTCCTATTTCCATATATAATTTACTTAAGCGTGAACTTCTTTCAACGCTTTTGCCTGCTTTCAAGCATTTTATTTCCCAATGAAAACACTCGTCCTGAAAAACTTCTAAATTAATAATTCAGCTTTTTTCAAGAGTGCTATGTCCAACGCGCTATCGGGTCCTTTAACCGACTTTGCTAAAACTTCGTTGGAACACATAACCGACTTTTCGGCTGCGTTGTCGGGTCCTTTAACCGACTTTCTTAAACTCTTGAAATTTTCTACCGCTTGTAAGGTGCGTGTAGTTGCCTCAAGGAATTTCTTAAAGCTGCTAAATCGTCCGTAGTCGGGTAGACTTAACGGTTCTTGCTTTTTCAGCGCATTTACGCCTTTTGGTAAGCGATTTTTCTTCACCTGTTTCTAAGCTATTTATGGTGTCCACTTATTTGGGCCATAAATCAGGACTTTTCCTGAGGAATTCAGGTCCTTGAAACCAGCGATGACTTACATCGAAGGTGGAAGGAAAATTTCTAGTGGCGTCGTCTGCCACGTTTTGTGAAGTTGGAACCCTTCGCCATTCACATGGCTTACTGTGATCTTCGATCTCAGCCAATCGATGAGCAACAAATGGTTTAAAAGCGCGAGGATCTGACTTAATCCACGCTAACACTATACGTGAGTCTGTCCAAAATACTCTCTCGGATATCTCGTACTTGCTCTCTTCACTAACTGATGCAGCCACTCTACTGCCCATAAGAGCTGCTTGCAATTCAAGCCATGGAATCGAAATTGGTTTCAGCGGCGCTACTCTTGCCTTTGCGGCGATCAGCGTAATCCGCCTCTCTCCTAGCTCGTCCGTGGTGACGTAATACACCGCGGCAGCGTATGCTTTTTCACTAGCATCCGTGAAGGTGTGTAATTCTCCCTTGCCGACGCCTTCAGCAACGGGTCTAGATACTTCTAAATGACCTAATTTCTTCACTTCCGATATCCATTTACAAAATAACACGTGTAATTCGTGTGAAACTTCTTCATCCCAAGAGATGCTTGTCCTCCATACTTGCTGGATCAGCGACTTCCCTTGAATCGTTATAGGTGATGCGAGTCCTAAATGATCGAAAACTGACATCACAGCGCTAGTTATCTCTCTCTTCGTAGGCGGTCGTAAACCTTCCATCACCTCTTCCGGTGTGTTACGAAGACTTATGGAGAAACTTATTATATCCCGTTTGATATTCCAAATAAAACTTAAAGTGCGTTCTGTGTGCTCCTTATCTCCCAGCGAAGCACTGTCGCTCTTATATTTATTTTCCATTTTACATAAAACTTCGGGTCGGTTGCTAGCCCATCCCCTCAGTTGGAAAGAAGCATGTTTATGTAATTCATACATATCGTTTACTATCCTTTCGGCCGTCGTCACGTCGGGAAATGCCTGTAGACAGTCATCCATATAAAAATTGCTTTCCGTAGCGGAAGCTGCTTCTGAATAGATATGTGCGTTATCCTGCGCATTTCTATTCTTTACATATATAGCGATGCATGGTGATGATGCCGCTCCAAATATAAGTGACGTCATTCTATACTCTTCCGGTGGCGCGTCACGATTGTGCCGCCATAAGAATCGAAGGCTATCCCTGTCTTCTTCCCGGATTTTCACTTGCAGGAACATTTCTTTAATGTCTGCCATCACTGCCACGCTTCCTTCTCTGAATCGTAGCAGAACTCCAAACAATGACTTCAATAAGTCCGGTCCGGTTAACAATGTGTAACAATTATTGAGACAACGTCCGCCCGTCCTAGAGGCGGCGTCGAAAACTATTCTTATTTTCTTTTTTTGTGGGTGAGTCACTGTGAAGTGGGGAAGATACCACGTGTGTGGGGAAATGGAAATATGGTTCGCTTTCTCTGCGTAACCGTTAACGATGAGATTTTCAATTTGCTTCTCGTATTCCTTTTTCAACTCGCTATTTTTGTTGAGCTTCTTTTCGATGTTAAACAGGCGACTTTCAACCTGCGCTCTATTCGACGGCATGCACTCATTGTCTGTGCGCCATAATAAAGCAGTCTCGTACCTATTATTAGGTATACGACGTACCATTTTGCTGAAAATATTTAAAGCTCGTTCTTCTGGGTCGTTCGCGGGCTTTCTCGCAGACACTCCCAGAGATTCCAAACTAAAATAATCCTTGATCAACTTATCCATGTCTTCCTCCTTCTTGGTGGAAATTTGGTTAACAATCTTGATTGGTTTGATGCTACCCGATATGTGACCATGTAAAACCCATCCAAGTTTGGTGAGCGATGCTACAGGTAGGTTCTTACCTCCTGAAATTAATTCACGAGTAACTATGAGATGCCAATTGTCCTGCCCAATTAATATGGTAGGTCTGGACCTCTCATACATCAACTCGTCCTTAATCGGTGTCAAATGAGAACACCGTTGCAATAATTCTCGACTTACTGACTGCGGAGAAAGGTTAAGTGACTTAATTGCTTGTACACTTATCTCCTCTAAGTCGTTAGAGTAAATGCCTTTTATTTTCACGTTTAAGCAATACGAACTGTCGTCGTTAATTCGCTTACCTCCCACGGCTTCAATACGTAATTCTTCTTTACGTCCGCGAGGCGCTAACTTCTGAGCCATCCACTCCTCTATGAGTGTCATGGTCGATCCTTCATCCAGAAGAGCTGTGATCTTGACCTTTCCTTTAGGTCCATACAACTCGACTTTAAGTATGCACATGCCAGTGCGTTCACTGTACTAACAGTTTAATCTGAGCCTCTTTACCCCCCTCGTCCCTTTGCGGAAAGGTATTTTCATTGGGGTATCGGTGTAGCATTCGATGATGTGACATTCTACATCCCTCTACACCACATTTTTTCCCTCTGCACTCTAACCTCCTATGGTTAGGTGACAAACATTGGAAACATACTTTCGCTCTTTTGACCGCGTCCCATTTCTCGCGAATATTCATGTCCTTAAACTTGTAACAACTCACTATAGAGTGCTCCTTGTTGCATATAACACACTTAGGTGTTACCCAACTTACAGGCTTGTCCTGGGTTATTATAACTACTTGTCGGTTGTGCCCTTTATTATTTCGGCGTTCTAGACGCTCGCTCGTATTACTTCGGCGCTCATAGCGCTCGCTCTTAGCACGGTTGCGTTCACACCCCTTTGCAGTGTGTACAGTTTGCTTCCTGAATTCAGGACGCTTCCGTTTTTCAGGCGCATTTTCATAGCTTAAGGATGTTCCAAATTGTTCACTCAATAAATTTAAAAACTTGGCCATCTTCTGTAACTCTGGCTCCAAAGGATGCTGAGCTCGATATTCGAACCATTTAAGTTTAATCATAGTTCCAAGTTTCTCCACTATGCGGCTCACTAACTCCGGTGAGTATAGATACTGTGGTTGATTCAACGCTTGTATTGTGGCAACCACGTTCGTAATACGACTTGCAAAAGATCCTATATTCCGGCAATCTTCCGCCAATCTTGGCATACGTTTTATATTCTCGATTTCGGCTAGAATGAGCATCTCAACCCTACCGAATCTTCTTTCGAGAGCGTTCATTATTTCTTCAGGTTCACACAAAGTAAATAACAGCGACTTAACCGCATCCTTAGCGGTGCCCTTTAATGCCCTCCTAAGGCGTGCGACATTCTGCACCCCTGAAAATTGGCTTCTCGTATCTTCAAACACCGTTTTGAAAATTATCCATTCACCCGGGTCTCCATCGAACACCGGTAATTCCTGGAGGAAATGAAGCTGGGAAGACTTTCCCGTATCTTTATTGCACTCACAATCGCTTCGGTCAATTCTGACACCTCACTCGCGTGTGTTTTCTGTGCATTTCCTTGGTTGCGCTCGATCTCCGCCCCTTTGCGGCGTGATCCTTTACACGCTTCCTTATCAGTAATATCGGGTTGCGTCACACTAACCGGCGCGCTCATTATGGTCTGTTGAACCCAACTCCTTACGAAAGGATCCACCTGAGTATTCCGCTCTTCATCATCCTCACTCGAGTCGATCTCCTCTCCTCGGTTGAGTCGTTCCAACTCCAATTGAGACTTGGCTAAGGCAGCAGCTGCCTGTGCTCGTTCGAGCTCTGCGCGTTCGAATTTAATCCGCGCCTCTAATTCGGCTTTCAGCCTCGCCGATCGCGATGACCAACTACCTTTCTGTGATCCCTTGTCACTAGTGTGCCCGATTACTGTCCTTGACGATGCCGCTTCTTCGGTCCTTTGACCTACTTTTTCGACCACCGTTTCACTCCTGGATGTAACGAATTGTTGTGCGGTGCTGGCCTGCGTACCACTGGTGTCCGTCCTGTTGCTCGTCGTTGCCATGGACATCCCTGAGTCCCACGTGCATGTGGACGTGTCGGTGGTGGCTCCATTTGAAGCAGTAGCTGTGGTCGCTCCAGATGATTCCGCCTCTTTAGCTTTTCTTGAGAGCCCTGTTTTTGTCCTGCTCCCTTCGCTCTTCTCTGTCTGGTCTTGTGCTTTCTTCATCTTGCAGGAAGGTGATTGTTGGCCTACGGTCCCTACAACCCCTTACCTACAACCCTTCTACACCCCAACCTAACCCCACTACCCCAAACCTACAACCTTACTACCACCCTAACAGCCCTATCAGCCCTATCAATCCTGAACGGGGCCTACCGAGGTGAGCCGTCCAGGGATGGAGTCGTGCAGGAATGGAATGGAGGAAAGGTTTAGGAGGCTGTCCCGCCAAGGAATATGACGAAACAGTCGAGCGGTAGTGCAAGCGCAGTCTCGCTCGAAAGAACTGCTCCACCCGAAGGTGTTGTGCCAGAGCCCAACCGTTTGGCACCGTTAGGTGGTCGGGATGTATGCTGCGCCTTGTCGCCCCGTCGCCGGTGACGCCTCGTCCAAGCGCCCTCCTCCGGCCGCGATGCAGTCAGGTGCCCACGCGCACCCTCGCCTGGCAGCAGCAGCGGTGGATGCTTCTTCTTCTTGCACCCTCTGATGACCCGACAGGAATTGCCGGACACGGTCGTCCGACAGGAAATGCCGGACACGATCGTCCGACAGGAAAATACCGAGCACGCTTGTCCGAGGGGCCCTGCTTGGCCACGATGAGTGCCTTCACAAGGCACCTGCGCCTGGCTGCGATACGTGCCCCATGCGAGCATACGCCCCAAGCCGCATTCCCGGTTTTATTTCTTCCGGTAGTTCCAGGTCCAGTCCTTCTGCGCTGACAACCTGGTCTTCTGGCCTTTGGTCCTTTTGCTCCAGCTCAAACCTCCGGCTTCCTTCGGTTGCTGATCTTCACTCGGCTCCGAAGGTCTTCTTTTTCCACAACCAGCAGTCCACAGCTGGTTCCTTGATCCTGGCTGGGAAGGACCAATTGAAAAGGAACCAGATTCGGGGGTCCTCTTAATCCGGCCGCGAAGGACCAATTGAAAAGGAACCAACGGGTGCGTAAACGTTTAACTAAGAAACAGAAGGGAGGAATCGAGGCTTCTTTCGATCCGGCCTCCTATAACGCCTACGTTGGGTTCGGGAACAACGTATGTGATCTCCGCAACGGAGTAACACACAAGGGCGATAACCTCTTCCTTTTCAGAAAATGGGTTCAGACGGGGATTACGGGTCTTCCGAAGTCGTCCCGGTCCCAACGCCTTAATTCTTCGATGTGGACTGTATAATTTTGAGGGATGAATTCCTCGGGAATAAAACAGCAATTATCTTCAAACCGTTCCGTGAGAGAGTAATTACTTTTCCCTATCACTTCCCTACACTTTTTCTTTCTTCTTATTGACTGCTGGTCTTGCACTTTTCCCGAAGGATTCCCGAACTTTTTCCCGAACGAATTGCAAGAAAACCCGTTTACTGAGCTACCCCAGAGCTATACGCGAAAGTGAGCCGCGCCTTTCGCGCGCTTGCGCAACTCAATTGCATTAATTTGTTCTATCACTCTCTCACGGTTTACTTAATAACTTTATTTGTATAAGACATACATTCATACAATTTACTTGTATAGATAGCACAAAAAAATATCTATACTACGATATACATTACATTTTCATATCACAAAAACCTTTTATTTATTTAACAAAATATGCCTATTTTACTCACATATTCAAAGTCGAAATTTCTTAAATATTTAACATAGAAAGTTAAAACAATGTTTTCCACTTGAAATTATACATATCTTAACCAATACAATAGTTTAATTTACATTTTCTCTATTCATTTCACTATTAAAACACTTTTAAATTTCTTATACAAAACTATCATTATTTCACTTATTCACAGGAATTTCTCCGAAATCCGATCTCTAACTTTATTTTAATATTCCTTTAAATTTACATCATTGGAAAGATGATTTCAACCGGGGAACAAATCCGGTAACATAATTTATATCTTAAAAATTCCCTATATGAATTTATTAAAAGATATTACTAAGAAAACGATAAACTATTCCGGCCTGGGAGTCGAACCCAAGACCTTCATACCATTAATTCGATATTTCTTTAAGATTCAACTAAGCATTTTCTTATTAAAATATTGCTGCTTAATAATTTGCTTTTTAGAAGCTATTCGTAATCGGTTAACTTAATAAATTGAAATATTCTTATAGGCGCGTCGCCAACAAAGCAAGTATATAAGCAAGTATATAAGCAAGTACATAAGCAGGTAAATAAGCAAGTAAATAAGCAATTAAATAAGCAAGTATATAAGAAAGTAAGTAAGCAAGTAAATAAGCAAGTACATAAGCAAGTATATAAGCGAGTAAATAAGCAAGTATATGAGAAAATGTAAAAACAAGTAAATAATCAAGTATATAAGAAAGTATACAAGCAAGAATATAAGCAAGTATATAAGCAAGTATGTAAGCAAATAAATAAGCAAGTAAATAAGCAAGTATATAAGCAAGTACATTATCAAGTATATAAGCAAGTAAATAAGCAAGTACATAAGCAATATATAAGCGAGTAAATAAGCAAGTATACAAGCGAGTATATAAGCAAGTATATAAGCAAGTATATAGGTAAGTATATAAGCATGTAAATAAGCAAATTTATAAGCAAGTATATAAGCAAGTAAATAAACAAGTATTAACTATATACTTCGTATATTCTGCGTAATAATTGTGAAGTTGGATTCACTAGGTGACAAATACTTATAACAATCTTCAACGTCACAGGCTATCGATCTTGAAACTGTAACTTTATCTAAGTTAATAGTGAAGCTTAAAGCGTAATTATCGCCTTTTAATTATTACTTTAAATTTCTCTAACAAAATCTCGTTACTGACCAAATAATATCTTTCATTAGATAATAAAGTATACACACACACACACACACGTACACATACGCACACGCACACGTATGCACACAAACACACACACACACGCGTACACGCACGCACGCACACACACGCATACACACACTCACACACCCACACACGCACGCACGCAAACCCGCACTCAGACGAATACCTTATGTCGCCGTTGCCACCACCTCCGCTACAAGAAGGGGCGTTGTCGAGTAATTTGTTACAAAAAGTCGTTTATTTCGACCACAAGGATCATAGATGTTAGTAATAATACAAATCTTAAAACTAATTTTCGTAAAACTCAAAAACTATTTACCCAATTTTAAAACTATATATAAGACAGGCCCGATTAGTCAGCCCGTGCACCATATGACAATGGTTTAGGTACTGACCTCAAACCTGTCAAAAAATGCCCTCAGGATACTGTTGGAACTGGCCCGCACCCTGCGCACCAGGGATGTGCATCGTTTACGCATGGTGGGTTAGAACTTATAAACAATCCACACGCGCATCCGCGAACATACCCGGCGCATTACGAGGTAGACCAAACAGCACCCTGAATGCATTACATAACTCGTATTTAATCTGTAGCTTGTACCGCCAAAGATACGAAACGGCAACGTCGCGGCTGCTTTCAGTCAATCCGATCATTTATCTTATCGTTTGCTGTGCTCTGATTGGCTCATTTAAATCGGATCAACATTTTCCGTAACCATCGCAAGGTGGATTTGTATATCGGATCAATTTCAGCCAACGCCAGCAAACAGTCTCGTGGGTGCAGATGTTGATCCGGTCGGAGCCACATTAGTTACCAGAGATGCATATTGGATCAACAAAAGGCGCCGGATTAACATGCGTTTTCGGATCAACAAAGTGATATAATTTCTGTACAATGGTATGTCCGTAATTATGAAATATAAATTTATATAGAAATAATTTAAAATTAAATATTACAATTACACTAAACAATTAACTATTTTACTGTTGTTTATAAAGTAATTTACATCAATTAATATTTTCACACTACACCAGCATGCTTCTGGTGACGTGACACAACGTTCTTCAATGTATGTATTTGCTTCATTATAAATCAGGGTCCTTTATTCTTCTACAACTTTGATCGATGCACAGTCATATCCTTTATAAATGTATTTATAAAGATATTTCATAGCCAAAATACTCCCTACGTACTCAACGTTAATATGACAATTAAATTTTTTCAATAAATATGCGTTGTAGGGGGCTACATGACGATTATCTCGTGTTATACGACGACCGTTTATGTTTTTGCGATAAACTGCATGTTCGTGTGAAAATTGGGGACTATTAGGGTCCAACTGCGGATTGTAGCGTCGTCGGTAATATGGTTTACTATCATCTACTAAAGATGTAACTTCCTGGTACGATTTTGGAAAATCAAATCAACATTATGTTCTCCCATTTTTGTGAACCATACATATTGCGTTGGTATTTAAATCACCACATGGGTTGTGAATCATCCATTTGAGAACTAATTCTCTTAACTCTAAGTCATCATTTTGGGGTATTTCGGATGACATCAAGTCATCGAGCTCTTCTGCTTGATGAATCTTGTCACCGGGTTTCATAATTATAAGCAGGTGCATGTGTGGTAATCCACGTTTCTGAAATTCTGTGGCGTATACAAAAGCCGATACCTTTCCAAAGACTTGCTTTTTATCTAAATCTTCTAATATTTGGTCAAATTTTAACTTAGCGACTCGAGCCACGATATCAGGACGATCTTGTGGAAGCTGTTGCGAGATTGTTTTATCTTCTAAATGTATATTTATAAATATATATTTGCAATGCCTGTTTTATTTCTGGCCAGTTAGGATTTGATGTCATGGTGATAAAGAAATCAGGTGATCCTAACCGTCGAACAATAGCCATGGCGTCTTCAAAATTTTCCGTGTAATACTTCGTCGAACCAGGAAAAGAGGAGGGTAAAATAATCTTCTCACCAACTGTGGCATTTTTCTTTTCGGCAAGTTGATTAAGGAAACTGGTTACTCCCGTATATTGTTCATCTAAAATCTTATTTTGGTTATATTTTATCCACTGAATACGGCCACGCTCTACACGAATGTAAGTATCAACTAAATATTGTTGAAATAATCGGCCCCCAAAATGCAGTGCATTAATTGAAAGTTCCCGGACATCGGGTCCTTCTGTTGATGTAGATTCTGTTAAAAATTTAACAAACTCTGGTCGAAACGAAAGTCTGTGTTGTGCCAGTTCAAGCCGAGTTAAATGACTGCGGCTGGAATAAGACGTTTGTAACTGCAAATCCGGGCTATAACCATCTGTGCCGGCTGGGTAAAATAATGGGTAAGTAAATGGCTCAATTCTCCTATCAACATTCTTTAAATAGACAATCTTTTTATTGCGCTGGTGAACAATCATTTCATTATCTGGAAAGCTTTGATCAGCATTTAGTGTAAAAACTGCACAAGCCTCATTACACGCCGGTATATTAAACCTTCAGCGATCAACTTAATCTGGAACTCTAAATAAAATTGTTACGTACGGTGGGGGTAACCCTTGAGCAGAAGTTAATCGATTCATTTCGGCCTCTACTTCTCGCATCATTATATATCCCTGTACATAGCGATTATGCGCTCGAATTATGAACTCCAATAACTTCATCATGGAGGTAGTAATTCCAGAATTAAGTGGATGGTTAACTCTTTCGTTAACGGCTTCATCAGGATCTAAAAATTATAGTTGCCCGTACAGTGGCCGTTCAAAAACAACAAAATCATTTTGCGTCGGGTGAGCTGTCATATTCATTTTATGATACACTTGTCCGCAAACGATAAAACTATAAATGCCATGGCTATTTATTGTTCTGTCATCTTCTGCACTGAAGAATGCTAGAGCAAAAGATGCGTTTATCTTTCTTATTTTTTTATGAAATTCTTCCGAATATAGGTTTAAAAAGAGACGTACTAATTCATTTGAAAATTTTGGTTGCTCCATGAAAATTTGTCCATGCAAACAACAGTCACCAAAAGAATTTCTATTTACGTTGTGTCACGTCACCATAAGCATGCTGGTGTAGTGTGCAAAATATTAATTGATGTAAATTACTTTATAAATAACAGTAAAATAGTTAATTGTTTAGTGTAATTATAATATTTAATTTTAAATTATTTCTATATAAATTTATATTTCATAATTACCACATACAACGGACATACCATTCTACAGAAATCTATATATATACATATATATATATATATATATATATATATATTTTTTTTTTTTTTTCTATATAACATCTGTACTCAAGAGACTGTTTGCTAGCGTTGGCCGAAGTTGATCCGATATACAAATCCACCTTGCGATGGTTACGGAAAATGTTGATCCGCTTTAAATGAGCCAATCAGAGCACAGCAAACGATAAGATAAACGATCAGATTGGCTGTATACAGCCGCGACGTTGCCGTTTCGTGTCTTTGGCGGTACAAGCTACAGATTAAATGCGTGTTATGTAATGCATTCGGGGTGCTGTTTGGTCTACCTCGTTATTGTAATGCACCGGGTATGTTCGCGGATGCGCGTGTGGATTGTTTCTACACCACCATGCGTAAACCATGCACATCCCTGGTGCGTAGGGTGCGGGCCAGTTCCAATGGTATCCTGAGGGCATTTTCTGACAGGTTTTAAGTCAGTACCTGAACCATTGTCATATGGTGCACGTGCTGACTAATTCGGCCTGTCTTATATATAGTTTTAAAATTAGGTAAATAGTTTTAAGTTTGTATTATTACTAACATGTATGATCCTTGTGGTCGAAATAAACGACTTTTTTTAACGAATTACTCGACAACGCCCCTTCATGTAGCAGAAGTGATGGCAACGGTGACATAAAGTATTCGTCTGAGTGCGTGTTTGCGTGCGTGTGTGTGTGTGTGTGTGTGTGTGTGTGGCGTTTGTGCGTGTGCGCATGTGTGCATGTTTGCGCACGCGCTTGCGTGTTTGTGTGTGCGTGCGTGTGTGTGTGTGTGTGTGTGTGTGTGTGTGTGTGTGTGTGTGTGTGTGTGTGTGTGTGTTTACCATAAACCAGTTAAAATGTTTTCTACATCTTCATAATCAAGATTTTTAAGGACGCGTTTACAAAATTGATAGGTATAGAATCGAACTATTACATGAGATATTAACATGAGACCTTACCTCCGGTCTTGATGGAGTGACCTCAAAATGTAATTCGGGATTACTAGTGGAACTCTTGGACTAGTAGAACTGGGTGTGCTGAGTTTGGGCTCGTTTTGTTAGTTATGATGAGTCCTTACCTCCGGACTTGCTGAAGTGACCTGAAGGTGTACTTCGGTAACTAACACTGTAACACCTGGACTAGTGGAACTAGGTATGCCGAGTTTGGGTTTGCTTTGTTAATTATGATGAAACCGTCACAAAACAAAAGTTCTTTTCATTTTGTCTCTAGTACCAATAGGCATCCAAGCTGATATTCGGGAAAAATTAATAACCTCGTAGTAACATCGTTAGGGGCAGTATCAATATCCACTTACCAGCCACACTGTTTTTCGCTGTAACCAACTGTCCTTTATATGAGCCTCACTTGCCCTCACGCGGTAACCACTTTACTGCACTCCAGTGCACCCACCAACACCTCTGCCACCTACGCCTCCACATCTATCACCGCACCCCTCTCTAAGCTTTCGTTCTCCACCTCCGCTACCTCCGCCTCCACCATAAACTGTGCTCCATCCGCCTCAACAATAAACTTCGCTCCCTCCGCCGCCACCATCACGCGCCGTCACTATTATTTCCGCCTCCAACACAATTCCCCGTTTCCACTATCTCCGACTTCACCACAAATTCCTCTCCTCTGCCTTCACCACATACTACGCTGTATTCACCTCCGTCTCCACGTCTCCATTTTGCGCCTCCATTTTCTGGGCACACACACACACGCACACGTGCGCGCACACACACACACACACATACACACGCAAACACGCACTCAGACGAACACTCACGCACGCACACACACCTGCACGCAAGCACACGCACGCACATACATACACAAACACACACGCACGCACACGCACGCGCATGCACACACGCGCGCTCTCGCGCACTCACATAAATACAGACACACACACGCACACCTACACACACACACACACTCACACACACACTCACGCGCGCACACACACACACACACACAAACACAGACACAAACACACATACACATACAAACACACGCGCGCGCACACATACATACACGCACGCGCGCGCACACATACACATACACATCAGCGCTCGCACATACACACACACACACACACACACATACATACTCACCCGCACATACACTCACACACACGCGCGCGCACGAACTAACACACATACACGCACAAGCACATACACAAACACAAAACAACAGTGGACACATGCACGCACACACGTACACACTCGTACCCACACATAAAAGCAAACACACGCACAACCGCAAGCACACACACACACACAAACAATAGTTAACACACACACACACGTACTAAAAAAACACAACAGTGCACACACTCACACACACGCGCACGCACATGCGTTCACACGAACACACATGAACGCACATACACCCACACGCACGCGTACACACAAACTCGCATAAACACACACACACACACACACACACACACACACACACACACACACACACACACACACACACACACACGCAAAAACACATGCAAACACACGCTGCAAACTAAGTGGCACCCCCCACCCTTACACACACACACACACACACACACACCCCCACACACACACACACACACACACACACACACTCACACTCGAGTGACAAATTAATTTGTAATAAAGTACTATCCATCATCTTCTAATTGATCTATGAAAAATGAATAAAATAACACAAATTCACTCACACGATAACAAAAACTCGAACAAACGTCTTTCCGCAATAAAACCTGCCAAAATTTGATCCACAAAATCAGCAGATAACGTATTTTCTTACCTTATTACTATAACGAAGTAGCCTACTGGGTTCTCTGTCACACACAGAACGCGACGTTGCCGCTTCATGTTCGAGTACCTATTCGTCAATTATGGCTCCGGATCCACTTAGTCTAAGTAAATGTCGTATATAAATTAAATATACTCTGGATCTAAAAAATCATATTCAGTATGATTTTTTCGACTGTTGATGGATCAACAAATGTTGGTCAAATCGCTGACGAGTATATTGAAATCCTGTTAGTGCAGATCCACCGACGTCACACGCACATCAAGGATGGATCAAAGTATATCAGTTTGTGCGACGAGGAGCTGAGCAAACACGTCAAATAGGTGGATCAACAATTGTTCTAACTTCTCACTGGACCAACATTTACCGTGAAAGGATGATTAAATATATATATATATATATATATATATATATATATATATATTATTTTTTAAGTATCAGCAGTGGCTTGTTTAATGCAGCGGTCGGTGCAAGGGCGACTCAACAACAGCAAACCGGTTCACCGCTGGCTGCCCTTGCTACGAGAGTTCGCACCATGCCACCAGTACGTTTACGCAGGCCATACTGCTCGTTTGTTGACTATTTACTTGTGATAAGAAACTGTTATTATAATTAATTCCTTCGTTTGAGACTCTTAGTTCCTGTGCTATCTTTCTATATATTACTATCACTCTATTCTCCTTCTGTGTGTTGTAAAGACTTGTAACTTGTGTAAATTATAATTATTTAAACTGAAAGACTATTGAATTTTATATTACTTACACAAGCAGCATAACAAATATTAAATTGAACTATAAAGTGGTGACCCCGTAAAAGTGCACAATATAATTATAAGTGAGAAACAAAAGGCCGCCGAACAAAATCTCGCCTCATCATCCGATGTTTATCGAGTCTGTGTTCGAATACCGCCATTTTGGCCGGAATATAGCGGCTAAGAGCGTGTCGGGCCACGCTCAGTGTAGGGTTCCGTAGTTTCCCGTCCGTCACAGTAAGTGTTCCCACTTATGAGTTTGTACAAAAACTGTTGTTTCCATCCAAGTTCAAAATAATTTTCCTAGAAAGTCCTTATAAAGTTCTACTTTCCGGATTTTTTTCATATTTTCTAAACTTATGATTCAAAAGTTAGAGGGGGGGGACACATTGTTTTTTACTTTTGGAGCGATCATTTCCGAAATTATTGACATTATCAAAAAATGATTTTTGTAAACCCCTATTCATTTTTAATACCTTTCCAACAATATATCACACGTTAGGGTTGAAATTAAAAAAAATCACTTCCCACTTTACATATAGGGGGGCCACCCTAATAAAACATTATTTCCCAATTTTTATTTTACCTCTTTGTCGGCGTGATTGATACACACAATGGTACCAAATTTCAGCTTTCTAG